AAAAAATATATATATGTAAAACCAAGAGCCAATAACCTTCTCAATGGAGAAAGACTAAAAGCATTTCCTTGTGAATAGGGACCAGACAAGAATGTCCACTGTTATCACTGATGTTCAATATTGTATTGAAAGTACTTGCTAGGGCAATACAAGAGAAGGAAATATAAGGCAGTATGATTGCCAAAGAAATGGTTAAATTGTTGCTGTAAGCAGATGATATGATAATGTACACAGAAAACCCCAAGGACTCAACAAAAACAACAACAACAACAAAACCATATGAGTGCTCGTAGATTAATTTAACAGAGTGGCAGGATATAAGTTCAATATCCAAAAATCAGTGGGATACTTCTACAGTAATAAAGAGAACTCAAAGAAGGAAACCAAGAAAACAATACCATATGCAATAGCTGACCACAAATTTAGATACTAGGGAGTGAACCTAACTAAAGATACAAAAGACCTATGCAAAGAAGACTTCAGAACATTTGTGCAAGACACAATAAAAGACCTAAAGAAATGGGAAAATGTGCCTTATTCATGGATAAGAAGACTAAATATTGTGAAAAAGGAAATCCCCTACCAAAAGCAATCTACATTCAACGCAATCCCAATACAGATACCAAATTTACTTTTCAAGGAGATCGAAAAGGAAATTATCAAGTTTACTTGGATAGCAAAGAGACCCCTGAATAAGCAAAGTACTTTTGAAAAACAAAACTGAAGCAAGTAGCATAACACTCCCTGACCTCAAAACCTACTACACAGCAGTAGTAACCAAAACAGCATGGTCCTGGTATAATGACAGGCACAGAGATCAATGGAACAGAATTAAGAACCCAGAAATGGACCCATCTATCTATGGTCAACTGATATTCAACAAGGAAATTAAATATATCAAATGGGGATATGATAACCTCTTCAACAAATGGTGCTGGCAAAACTGGACTGCCACCTGTAGAAATCTGAAACAAGATCCACATCTCACACCATACACAAAAATCAACTCAAGGTAGATCAGAGACCTTGGAATAAAGCCCCAAACCATAAAGTCATAAGAGACAAACTGGAACCAAGCATAGAAGGCCTAGACTACTATATAATAGGACTGCCAAATACAGCCCAATACACACAATCTGAAGAAGATAAAATTGATGAATGGGATCTAAAGATTAATCTCTGTGCTTACTAACACCTTTTTCAACAGGGTGAAAAGAAAACCTACTGACTGGGAACAAACATTTGGTAATACTGTCTCAGACAAGAGTCTCATTATGAAAGTTTACAGAATCCTACAGGGCCTACAGAAGAAAAAGACTGATAATCCAATTACAAAATGGGCAAAAGACATAGAAAGACTTGACAGAGGAGGACATTTGGATGGCCAACAGATATATGAAAAAATTCTCAAAATCACCGGCAATAAGACAGATGCAAATCAAAATCGCAATGAGATACTTTCTTACTCCAGTAGCAGTGGCAAAGTTTAGCAGGGCATCAAGTAACAAGTGTTGGAGAGGATGTGGCCAGATAGGAATCCTTGTACATTGTTGGTGGGATTGTAAAATGGTATAACTGCTCTCATTCCCGTGCCTGGCTCTGGCCATCCCTCCTCCCTCTCTTTCTGCACCCATTCTTTTTCGTCCCTCACCCCCCGGGGGCTCCTGCGCCCTTCCCCTCTCCCCTGGCCGCATGGACCATCCCGCAGGCCGCTGATGCCGCCCGCGGAGAGCTGGCTCGGACCGCAGCGCCCCGGGAGAGGCCGGACGGGAGTGCCGACAAGATGGTGGACGGGGAGCTGAACGTGGATAGTCTCATCACCCGATTGCTGGAGGAACTCGACTATGCTTAGTGGTAAAAAGATGCACTACAGCCAGCGGGGCCAGGGAGGCGGGAGCTGCATCACTACTGACCTGCCCTCGGGTTGACTCAGCAATTCTGGT